AGATGGTCAATGTGCCGCAACTTCAGCCGTTGCCTCTGCCAGAGACCTAATTGCCAGTTCCAACACATCTGTAATAAGCCCAAATGCGGTGGAAATCACCCTGGCTTCCAGTGTCCTAAACCAGTCTAATTTATCTTCCACACCACCTTTGCTCAGTCCCCCTAGTGCCCCCATTGTTATCCCTAACCTCTCTACAGAACCATCCTAACCAGAAGTTTGCTTCAGATCTCCACCATGACCTTCAGTGGGGATGCCGCCTGGGTTACACCGGTCCTCATGCCCCCAGAGTCACTCCTAACCTTAAGTCGGCTACACTCCATCCTCAAGCAGTCTCTGATGCACTGGCTAAAGAAGTATCTTGTGGTCACACTGCCGGTCCGATTCAAGATCTACAATGCTCCCCACTAGGGGTAGTACCAAAGAAAGATGGAACATGGCGCATCATCATGGATCTCTCTCCCCTCATGGCTCCTCTGTGAATGACTACTCATCTAAGGACACCTACACATTACACTATGCCACCTTTGATCAAGCTCTTGCTCTTGTTTCCCGGCATAGCCAAAATGCTCTGATGGCTAAACTTGATATCAAACACGCCTTTCGCCTCTGTCCAGTTCACCCGGCTGACTGGGAACTTGTTGGTATTCATTGGGAAGGCCAATACTCCATCGACCTTCATTTACCCTTTGGCTTCCACTCCTCTCCATACCTTTTTAACCGTCTCGCCTATGCTTTCGAATGGATTCTTAAAAACAATTACATGATTACAGATCTCATGCACTATCTAGATGATAACTTCACTGTGGGGCCATCAAACTCCAAGACCTGTGCTGACAACGTCAATACTATAATCCACATGGCCTCACACCTCGGGATTCCTCTGGCTCCTGAGAAGCTGGAAGGACTGACCACATCACTGATTTCCCTTGGCATCTTGATTGATGTCACTCATATGGAAACTGCCTTACCAGATGATAAACTTAAGGAGCTTCTTGCTGAACTTCGGTCTTGGTCGTCTCATAAAAAGTGCCTTAAGCACGAGTTGCTGTCCCCCATGGGCAAACTTAACTTTGCTTGTTGCGTCATCCATGCTGGGTGCATATTCGTGCGTCCTCTTATTGACCTAAGTACAACTGCTAGGCTCCCCCACCATCACATTACCATGAGTCTCGATGCTCGCCATGATATCGCCTCCAGGGTGGCAAAGATTCCTTCCCGCTTGGAATGGATGAACGATTATTCCTGATCCATACTGGTCAAGATTCCCAGACTTGGCCCTGTTTACAGATGCGTCTGGGACCCTTGGATATGGTATTTACTATTCTGGTCATTGGATTGCTGACACTTGGCCATCTCCTCTTCAAGATCGTTCTATCCAATGGAAGGAGCTCTATCCTATTGCTCTCGCCCGCCTCTTGTGGAGTCATTCGTGGTCGGGAAAGAAAATCCTCTTTCACTGCGACAATCAGGCAGTGGTTGATATCTGGGCTTCTGGCACTTCCCTAGACCCCGACATCATGCACTTCATGCACATCATGCACCTTTTTCAGTGGTGCTACTCACCATTTCACAATCCTAGTCTCGCATATTGCTGGTTCTGATAACTTAACTGCGGACTCTTTATCCAGTTTGCAGATGGTGCGGTTCCATCAGCTTGCCCCAGCAGCAGGCCTAACGCCAACACCTATCCCTTCATCAGCCAGGACCCTCTGGAACGTTGTCTATTGTTCCTCCAGTTTCAAGCCATTGCTGACTCCACTCATCGCACTTACTCGGCTGGCGTGCGGAGGTACATCACTTTTTGCACCTCTTGGCAATGGCAGAGTTTTCCAGCTACAGAACCTACACTGCGTTATTTTGCTGCCTACTCGGCTGACCAAGTTTCTTACAGAACTGTCAAGTTGTACACGGCCAGCATTCGTTTCTTTCACATTGAGAAAACCTCCCTGACCCATTCCAGGACGCCCCATTACTCTATCTACTTCTGCGGGGCATCAAACGTAGTGTGGGCCTTTCCTCCAGATGCCGCCTTCCCATCACCATGTCCCTCCTTTGGAAACTCAAGGCTGAGCTGGCACAAGCACCTGACATCCTTCCGCGTGACAAATTCATGTTATGGTCTGCCTTCACATTAGCCTTCTTTGGTTTCCTACGTTCAAGTGAGTTTACTTCACCATCCACCTCTCACTTCAATGCACTGTCACACCTGAGCGGCATATCCTTTAACTCTGATGGCTCCTTAAGTCTACACCTGAAGTCCTCCAAAACAGACCCTTATCGCCAAGGTTGCTCCCTCCTGATTGCCCCATCAGGCCAATCCATCTGCGCAGTTCGTGCGATTAGAAAATACATGGCTCATCATCCCTTCAATTTTCAGAAAGTACCAGGCCTGTTAGCCAATGCTGCTGCAGGAACACAGTCCATCTGGAACCCTCAGGAAGGATGTTGTACTCATTTAACATAATAGTATTAGTTATTTTTTTTTAGGTAGTATTTGGGAATTAATTTAGGTGCACACCTTCCACTTAGCTTTGCACTTAGCAGGCCGGGTGGGACCCTGACCCCACCTCAGGCTTATATCTATCCGGGTGTGGCATACGCCACACTCGTTGGCTCATCCCTTATTTCCAGGTGTGGCATGTGCCACACTTGTTGGCTCATCCATCACCTGCAGGGTGTGTTGCTACCACCCTTATTATCGTTTACCTATTTACAGGGTGTGTTGCTGCCACCCTTAGATTTGCCAGGGAGCACCCAACAACCTTAGTCCCATTTCCTGCCAAATGGTTGTCAACTTTATTGTGTACTTATGTATGCATCCAAAGTTGTTAACAGTAAATGTAAGTTAATTTTGGACCTTGATGAAAATACAAGCATGAAACAATCGCTGCTGAGATTTATGTCTTATCAAGGTTTCTGTCTGTTTAAAATACAAACTGGTAGTGAACAGAATCGGGGTGAATACTTGTGGGACAAGCTTACCAGAGCTATCAGTTGCACTCTGCACTATCTCAGATTGTCTAAATAGTTAGTGTTTCTCAGGAATTCCCCTTATGCAAAGATATTTGACAAAGTACATGTACTTTAACAGGTCGTGTAGCCTGCAGTACAGGAGGATTAGCAGGGCAGAAAGCGAAACGTGCCCCCAAGCATTCTCTTTTGCATTCTCTTATAAATTCCAGCCTCTCTACCTTTTATTTTGCTCCTCATTTGTTTCTGAAGGGTAGTTTTTTATCAAAAGGACTTTCTTAAAAGTTGAGTAGAGCCCCTGGACTGTTAGAGGTCAGAGCTCTGCTTGGTTTCAGCTGTTATCTATTGCTTTGTAGAGTTTGACACCTCTGTAACTTGCCATGTGTCGAGTTATAATGTGCGGTTTGTCTTGCTCCATTTCTGTTGCAGAAATGTATGTTGTATCTCTGTTTAATTGTTCTCTCTGGAGGGACAAGTCAGTGATCATGTTGATTACTTGCATTCTATATTGTGATGCCGGGCCCGGTTGTAAGAGACTGCTGTAGTGACTGCTGTAGTGTTACTTCTAGAATCTTAGAGATCCATTCTGTGTTGTCAAAGTTATGTTTCTTGCATCCTGAATCTGTTCAAGCTTTTCATCTCCTGGGCTTGATGTTTTTATTTATACCTCCTTTGTTCATTCTGGTACCACATGATTTAAATTTAGCTAAATGTAGATGTTCACATCTGTTGACTGTTTTTGCATCATGTATACATGTGTAAATTGTTTACTTGAGACTTGTTTTTGTGCCAATAGATTTTCATTCTTTCATGCCATTCATTTCAAGGGGGCAGTAGAGCATAAACAATGGTGTGACTACAGGCGGATTTTTTTTTGCCTTGCGCTTTGCGCTCGTGGTTGCACTCCGTGCACTTGTATCGCGTTTAGCTCTCTGCCCTGCTAATCTGCCAGTTCTGCAGGCTATGGGTCATGTAGCTGAGTTTCAGGTTAGAAAAGGAGAGGGAGAGTCAAATGGTGAATTTGGGTATAATATTAGGTGTCTGGAAGTTAGAGAGGGCCTTTCAAATCAGTTGTAAAGAAAAGGTAAAAACTTCTGTAGGGAAGGGGGCAGTTGAATGATTACTAAATTCCTAAGCATTGTTGAATTTCCAAAGCCAAGAAGGGGGTTTAGATGAAGATGGAAGGGCATGGATATTTTCTGGAATCTGCACCCATTGCATGTATCTTCATTATCTTAAGAA